TATCATTTCAACTGGATTTTTCTGCTGAATCCTCCATTTCCCTCACACAAGAGTGGCCACAACACAAAAAATAGCAGACTCTCATTTTGCATCTTTGTTCAAACCTCCCTTTTCTGACATATTTTCATTGACTGACTAATCATGACTCTATTCCTACTGGTCAGAGGCTAGTTCTCTTATTTTCTGTGAATTATAGCATCAGATCCTGATGTATTGGAAGGAAAGAAGAAAAAACAAAAATAACCATTCTAGAAAAATTATAACACAAGCAACAGGATGCAAATCCTCTTGATCATTTCACGCTTTATAACTAGCTAATAAGAATATGAATTTCACAAAACAAGAGCTTATACTATAGTTAAGAAAAAATGAGATAAAAAGGGAAATTTGAAAACAAAGGACAGTTTTTAAAGACAAATAGCATCATTATAATACTAACATGTAAGTTAGAAATAATAAGAAACAGAATAAATGGGCCTAAAAATCAATTTATGTATTATTAACTCTCAAAAGTAGTGAAAGTAACAGATTAAAGTTATAAGTAGATTCAAGGATGTGAATGCAGCCTATCAGAAATAGAAAAATTTCCAAAATGATCCAATATAAGAATAATTGGTGTCATGAAACAGAAAACCAAACAAAACTAGAATACATCAGATATGGAATTTTTTTGAAATGAAGGAAGGTTTTAATCATCATATCAAAGAGCATCTCATGTGTTAAAAATTTGATGCAAAAGTCTTCAACACCAATACCAAGTTTATACTACTTGAGCTATTGAGCTTCAACAGCGAAGAGATATTTATGCATCTTATCCAAAAAATAGAAAAAAGAAGATGCATTCTGCTAAGAGACTTTTAAAAACAAGCAATAGGAAGTTATATTCAATCATAAAAAAAAAAACAACTAGAGATATTTACCTCACAGGGAACACTAAAAGAAACCACAAAGGAGTCATGACACATGATTGCTGGCACAAGGCAGTACAGATGTGAAATAGGATTTCTAGGGGGTGGAAAACAACTTTCCAGCAATGTTCTGATTCTTTATGTGGTTGTAACATAAGGTTGTCAAGCAAGAACTTCTTGGAGGAGAGAGAGAAAAGAAAAGGTTAAATATTCAATTTATTTATTTTATTCAAAGTAGGTACATTCAAGTTTACCTAATATTAAAATATGGACTCTGGCCTGAGGAAGGATATGGAGACCTGGGGAGAAAAGACATGATAGATAGAAGTCTTAGAGTTCATGGATTGTAGTCTTGATGAGGTTAGGGTATGAGTGGGCAGCAAGTGAGCTGGAGGAGTAAGAGAAAATACCAAAAGAGTGTTTGAAACAGATTTTTGTAGGCGTTGAAGGTCTGGTGCAACTTAGAATAGAATCCCTGTGAGTGGGTGATTGTAGTAGGGTGTAAAAAATATCACTTATACAAAATAAAAATCAAGGAATGGAGAAGCCATGCTATAGGAAGCTACATAACAAGTGATAAAGTTATTTTTTATGAAAAAAAGGATGCTTTTAAAATTAATGGTTCCTTAACTATTTTCTACCCCAACACAACTAAAGGGTATAACATATCATCATTATTCATAGTGTACTGATTTTCAGGGAAGGGATGCATTTGGGGCCATGACTCCTTGGAAAGTTACTTTTATAACATTGTGAAACACATGCAAGACATTTTGAATTTGGAAAGGTGTTTTCCCCATCAGTCGTTCCTCTGAACCACTTCAGGTAAACGTTATTAGACCCTGTTTTTGTTATAATAAATTTCTTTATGTTAATCTAAAGTGAATGAAGTAATACTCCTCTTTGTAGAAATTCAAAATTATGAGATCTCTGCAAATGAACAGACATTCCACATTATGTTTAGCACAATACAAGTTTAGCACAATACAAGTAGGCAGTGATCAAGGTAAATATCACTCTAACCATGGGCAGTGATGTTGCTGAAGTTCCAGTATGATATATCAGAAGTATTCCCATGGTTGATTTCACACTGAAGGTGCCATATAGACCATCTATGTACAAATGGACCAACGACTATATATGTAAGTGTTTGAGCCTGAGCTCATTTTTGTGGAGTTTAGACTAGAGCTGATATAGGGAGGAGAAAAGTTACGTGTTTTGAATAAATGAATAGCTAGGTTTAATATCAAAATCTGATGCTATTTGATCCTCATGCTTTGAGATACAATTTTAATATATCATCCCGATTTTAGAGCTGAAAAATCTGAGGCTTAAAATAGACAAATGATTGCTTGAGATGGCAATAATTAAGCGATAGACAAGAAATCTGGATTCATACTTTCGACTCTCAAACTCACTGTGCTCACCATTCTATGACAGATGGCTTGCTGGTCACAAAGGCTATGGCTTCACTCCTTCAGGGTTTGGTTTAGAGATTTGTAACAATAACCGAGAACACTTTACAGATGATAGAGTAGGATTTCATTTCCTGGAACAACAAAATTTTCTGACCTCTCAAAGGCTACTAATGGGTTGTTAAGCAGGAGAAACACTGTAATAATACAGCTATGCCTTCATCTTAATCTAAATGCAATACAAATGCATTTCTATTTCTTTTAGTTAGTTCATACAGAAAATTTCCAATTTGTTTTTTCTTTACTCACATAATGCTCTTTTATACCTCTCATTCTCTCCACACAATCTCATATCCTTATTCCCCAAGATATTGTATTCTTTAACTTAAGAAAAGATATAATATGCCTCAGGTATAATGGCCTTATAATTTCAGTATTATTATGTGATCAGCAAGCTTAATTAATCTAAAATAAATGCATAAAACCCTACTTTTATATGATCATATATCCATAAAGGATACAAATTTCATCACACAGTGTCTAGTCACCAGCATGCCATATGTTTTCCTGATATCTGCACTTAACTTGATAAATATTATATGCAAAAATATCACTGGTTTAAATTTTTTTAAAGAAACATTAACAAAAGAAAGAACCCCTTCAATGGCACCATCCCCTAAAAAACTGAAATATTTCTAAAAAGCTTATTTATGAAGACATTGCAAAGTTAAATTTGAATATATTTACTTGGGTATGTTGTTCTATTGATGTCAATAAATTTTTTATTAAAAAAATAAAGTAGTAAAATTTCTATATGCATGGACATCTCCCTAAATTGTTAGATGGTCATCATTCTTTTAACTATGTCTTCTATAGCCACCTTGATATAGTCATCTTCAAGACAGATATCTTGTGATGCTGAATTTGTAATATTAACATCAAGTCTACTTCCCATTTGAGGGTGGGCAGATGGCAGAGACTTAACATGTAAGCAACCATATGCCAGATATTTTGCATATATAAATTCATTTAATAGTCCTGGAAAGAGAAAGCATTAGCATCCCCATTTTACAGCTGAAAAATAGGAAACTCAGGGATATACAGTTATTAGTGTTGGAGCCAAGTTTCTGCAACCCCTCCCCTCCAACCATCATCACACACACATAGTGACATCTAAAAACTCTTCAGATCCCTCTTGCGTGGAAAATTCATGCATCTTGATCTCAACACATGTTCAGATCTCTCCAATTTCTTCTGTGTGGTTTCTTATTTCTGGTGCTGTGCATTTATTTATTCTGTAAATTTCCAAATGTCAGAGGTTGCATCTTTGACTTCCTATAAAACTCCTGATACCTTACAGTGGATTGATCAATATATGCTTCTAATAGTCAGATCATGAGTATTAACATAAATGTTCTTTCTCTTTGCACATATGGGTCAATCTTTCTGCAGCCTCATTTTCACATTCCATCTGAGTGCATATGTCATTAGAAACAACCCATTGACATAATGTGGAATGTCTGTTCATTTGTGTGGACAGATGGAGGGCTCAATTCAGACAACTGTGCAAACATTTAACAGTAACATAAAATAAACTCTTAACATTATACATGAACACCGAAATCAGTATATTTTGTGAAGTGGTGAGTGAAAGAGAAGTTCAAGAACATGAATATTTAGGTATTTAGACAGAGAAATAAAAGGCTGGTACAGATGTAAGACATTGTTCTGTTTTAATTTATCACTGACTAGTCGGGGGATGGAATGGGATTCTAGAAGCTGCTTAAGTAAAGGAGAGTGGATTGTACTGGTCATAGTACGGTTTGGGAGAAGACTAACAAAGGAGGAAAGAATGATGGTTTAACAAAAACAACAACAAAAATGTGTATAAATGAGTAGAAATTAGGAGGAGGAAGGGGAAAGGTGCTTTAGTACCTTCTGGGGTCCACAACACAGAATGCAGAATATATGAGGTTCAGAAGTAAAAAGAACAGTAGCAAAAATGGAAATGCTAACACAGTTTCCTCACTCTGTCTCTGCAACAGGGACCACTTATTCATCCTTTAACTAACCTCAGTTAGCACCTTAGCAAGATGAATGGAAAAACTGAATTCTAAGACATAGGAACAGCAATATAAATGTATCTTCCTATTTGCATCAGCTCCCGTGGGAGGTATTCTCAATTTGCCCAGTATTGAAAGTTCCAGTGTTACATCTAGACAAGAAATAGTATTCTTGAACCTGGACATTTACATACATGGAGATGCATATGAAGATACCCGTAATTCAATGTGGGTAAAAACATACATAGCTTTCACTAGTTATAAGTACTCCACTGCATTTTTAATAAATTTCACATTTTTCCTCTGGCCTCCAAGATGCTTTTTTACCTAGTCTCTATCCCTAAAAACTTATCTCATGCCACTTACTTTCTTTTACACTATGTCTCTGTCAATTTCTAAAATATATCAAGTGAGCTAATAAAAGGGGGAGATTTTACCTAAAATCAAGAAAGGAAGAAATCAAAGAAAAATAAGGTGCCCACGGTCTATGTACCCTCGATATGTTGACTGCTAAGGCAGAGAGCACCTTGATGAATGGCAATTTGATACTCTAGTTCTCAAGTAGGTGATGCCCATAGTGGGGTGAATGGTGACCTCAAAGAATAATGTTTATGGTGCTCACTTTGGCAGCACATATATTAAAACTGGAATGATATAGAGAAGACTTGCTTGCCTCTGTGACAAGGATGACACACAAATTCATGAAGTATTCAGTATTTTTTTAAAAAATGTTTATGCCCCTGAAAACTGTGAATATGACTTTGAAATAAAAGGTCTTTGCAGATATAATTAAGAATCTTGAGATGAGATTATCCTGAATTACTCTGATAGGACCTAAATCCAATAATAAGTGTCCTTGTAAGGCATAAAAGAGAAGTCAGAAACACGGGAGAAAGTGATGTGAATATAGAAGCAGAGGTAGGAGTGATGTGGCCACAAGCCAAGGAAGCGACTCGATGCCCATAGCCTTCAGAAGCTGGTAGAGACAAGGAAGGAAGACTCCAGAGGGAGCGTAGCCCTCTTAACACCTTGATTTCAGACTTCTCTCCTCCAGAGCTGTTAGAGAATGCATTCCTTTTTTTTTTTTCTTTGACAGAGAGAGAGAGAGCGAGAGAGGGAACACAAGCAGGGGGAGTGGGAGAGGGAGAAGCAGGCTTCCTGCTGAGCAGGGAGCCTGATGCGGGGCTCAATCCCAGGACCCTGGGATCATGACCCAAGCTGAAGGCACACGCTTAACGACTGAGCCACCCAGGCACCCCTGCATTCCTATTATTTTAAGCCACCCAGTTTGTGGTAATATTTTCATAACAGTCCTAGGAAAAGAACATAGTACTTAATGGTAGAGATAGATGCAACAGCTTCTCAGGATTTCAGTCATCAAGATTACCTAACTAACTCTCTCTTATCTAAAATGATGCTCAATAAACAATAATTTTATTATGTAGTAGTTAATCAAGTAGTTTTCTCAGAGGAAAGAAAACGTATTGGTCAGCCAGGAAATTATTACAGTGCTTTTGACAGATCTATTAATATAATGGAATTCTAGTTTACTTTGCAATCTCATATGAATTTGGTTATCCTTGCTCAACCCAAAGATACTAATCAATTTAAGATACAACAACACAATTAAAGTCCTGGGCCTTAGTATGATTACCGTAAGAGAGGCAACATCCTGTAAATCTTTGCCAGAGATGTTTTCAGAAAAGCCAGAAGCATCATGATATTGTTTCTAATGGCCAAAATTGGACATAAGGAAGTTTGTGCACAGATTTATTCTTGGTTTTTCTCTACTAATGTTTAAATAGGTAGAAAGCATATGAAGTTATAAATCTTAGGAGAAGGTAGAATTTAAGACAAATATATAAATAGGGATTATTCTTTTGCTTCAAATGGCCCCTTTTGACATCCCTCTTTGGGGCCCCAAATACTCACTTGTAGGTATATTTTCTTGAATTACAGAATAATTTTTCAGGTTTTCCTACTAAAATAAAAATAATTCACTCTAGTTTTATTTTTTTAAAGATTTATTTATTTGAGAGAGAGAGAGTACAAATGCTTGCAAGTGGGGGGAGGGACAGAGGGAGAGAATCTCTAGCAGACCCCCCACTGAGCATGGAACCTGACCTGGGTCTCGATCTCATGACCCATGAGACCATGACCTGAACTGAAACCAACAGTCAGACTGAGCCACTCAGGTGCCCCTAAATAGTTTTATTTTTAACTCATGTGGTCCAATCATCATATTTCATTAAGAAGACACATATACAGAGCAGTGTCACTGATATTGTGTAAAGACTAGAAAGAAGATGGGGGAGGGGAACATTGAAAAACAGGTTTACACTCTAGTAAATGAGCTGAATCCTAGCACTTAAATATAAATAATATCTCATTAATAGAAAACTAATTTTTCCTAACAGCTGATCATTAGAAACATTCCAGTCTTCCTTAAGGGCTTTAAAAAAAATAGGCTATGATTCAGTGAAACAGAAGTGAAATACAATTATACTTTGTGTAGGGAAACACAATGGAAGGAACTCTACATTTTTTGTGAAAGACCTAGCTCATAATAGCAATAGCCTGGAGATGTACCTTAGTAAAAATGTCTTCCTGGAGAATTGGAGGTGGCACATTTCTGCCAACAAGCACTCTCCTCTTTGGAATATAACCAAACCTTACAGAGTACAAACATGTGGCACCAACTACGTGATATGCATAGTACCAAGGGTCATTATAACTAAGAGGTAGAGATCCTGGTGTTTGGAGTCAAGTAGTTGTGTTTACTCCCAATTATATTTCCTTATAACCATGTCACTGGGGATTACTTACATTCTCTCACAAGCATTTTCTTCACCTTCCATGAAATGGAAATATTAATATCATTATTATGAGGTTTAATTTTGCAGTATATATAACTTATCACAAAACTAGGTACATAAATATCTCATTAAATGGTGGGCTTTATTACCAACTTCATCACAATCACTATCATCCATTTTTCCTTAGAAGATTCATATTTAGCAAACCAGTACGAGAAGATTTGAAGATGATTGTCATTAACGAAAAACCCTGGGGATTAACCATATGAGATATGTACTTGCTGCATAAAGTCATGAAAATTCACAGGTTTCAGGAGAGGTGGTTCCCTCTTCCAGTTTTCCCCAGAAAAGATCAACTGCACAACACTTGATGATCTTACACAACCCTGATTGGTCTTAGTGGTACACATTGATATTGTGCATATTATATCAACTGGAAATGCCAAGTTAATAAAGCCCTCCAAGTAGATTTTTTGCACCTATGCCAATTGATATACAGCCTCAAATTTAGAGCTCTAGTCCTTGCTAACTTACTCACTTTTAAACCGTTCTGTTTCCGTCTCTTTGAAGCGAGAATACATATTTTTTCAAGTGAACACATTTCAAGCTAAGAGGCTTAAAATGTAATCAAAATATTTGCTGTTTCCTTCTGGATAAATTGAGAATATGGTTTTTTCAAGGCATTTTTATACTTGAGAATGAATAGTTTCAAGTTCAGTAATTGTTAGTATTGACTACTATTATACTCCTACAGCAAAAATTTGTCAAGAACATCATAAAGTTGTACATGCCTGTGGTCTCTCCAACATTCCCTCCTTCAATTTCTGGGAATCAAACTCTTTGGGCCTGGGATTGTGACAGCCCTACTGCTACCAGTCTGAGTCCCTGCAGTATTTCTTTTCTGTTGGATAGGTTGTTTTTTTATTGTAAATGATAATTTCTTTATTATCTGCTCTTTCTCTTCTACAGGAGCAACATTCTCTCCGCTTATGTCTATCATATTTTCCTCCATTTTCTATGAGGAGCTGTATCTAATTTTCTCAGTGATTCAGGGTTTGAACTTTTGTGTCAGTCAGACATGGAAGGAGATGCAAAGCTTTCCAGCTCCCCTCCTCTAGCAATCTGGTTCCTGAGTTACACCTGTGGCAGGAAGATCATACCTATGGGTAGTTAACATTCCTCAAATATTCTAGAATCTTTTTGTCTGGCAAGGATTGTTTCCAGTTTTTATACATATTTTAGTGGGAAACTAAAGAAATTCCACTAAACTCTTTAGCCAAAAACTATTTGAACCAGAAGACCTGATAGGGTTTCAGTATGGGCTTTGAAATTAGATAAAAATAGATGTAACTAATAATAACTATTATACTAATGGGTGTTATTTCTTACACAGAGAAGAAGGGGGGGTAGGGAAAGGCAGGCATTTAGCAAATTTAAGAGGACAGGAATAAACAGTAAAGCACATAATATCGAGACAAAAAAAAGACAGATTCAAAAATATGTTAACTAAAGCAATAAATATGAATGAGTTAAATTTCACTATTAGAAGACAGATCAGGGGCGCCTGGGTGGCTCAGTCGTTAAGCGTCTGCCTTCAGCTCAGGTCATGATCCCAGGGTCCTGGGATCGAGCCCCGCATCGGGCTCCCTGCTCAGTGGGAAGCCTGCTTCTCCCTCTCCCATTCCCCCTGCTTATATTCCCTCTCTCGCTGTGTCTCTCTCTGTCAAATAAATAAATAAAATCTTTAAAAAAAAAAAAAAAGAAGACAGATCAAACCTGAAACAAAGTCCAAATATATGGTACTTTCAAGACATGGTCTAAAACAAAAGACATGAAGAAACTAAAATAATATGATGATCACAGATATGTCAGGAAAACATATAAAATCAGGAAAACAATATTAAAAAGTGTTCACAAGCTAAAAATATAAATTAGGCAGATAATTTCCACTCATGACATTCAAATATAAACAAAAAACCCTGGATGATTTTTGTAATAAATAAATTTAATATCATCATTATTAAAACTATCAAAACAATGTCTAAAAGAAAAATTCAAAAAGGAATGATATAACGAGGCAATTTTTAAAATGAAAATATAGATTGTGATTAAAACAAATATCTAATTTTTCTACCAGTTAAACATATTTTACATAATTATGAGACATCTTAATGCTTAGTAAGCAGTCTCTTCCAAGCTGCTTGTGTAAATTTTCTAACTTTTCTGCAAGGAGATTTTGCAGTATATATCAGAATGACATATCATTTGGTTGTGATGTTCTTTGAGAGATTTATATTCAAATTTGTTAAGCATCTTGTTATTCAAAAGTCCATAAAGTTGGAAATAATCCAGATGGCTATTAATATGGGATTTAAAAAATAATGATATGTAGTATTTATATAGTATGTGTCATATCCAGGCATTGTTTAAATTGCTCTACGTATATAAAACCATATAATTATAAGGACAACCCTATGGAGTAGGTATTGTTTTAATCCCTAGTTTTCATATGTGGAAACTGAGACAGTGAGAGGGATTAAGGAACTTGTTCAGGTTCACATGTCAATAGTGGTGAAGTAGTGATGAAAGCTCAGGTATCTGGCTCTGGAGCTCAGGTTCATAACTCTATGCTATAAAGTTTTTCAAATGAGAGCATCCATTATTATAGAATAATTTGTATCCATAAAAATACACTTCTAAGATTTTTTTTTACAATATGAGAAAATGACTACGATATTGGTAAGTAAAATAAAATTCTACTTTGCAAGACACATGAATACATAAAACCAAGACAGGCATGATTTATACAAAACGTGTTGTCAAAGAGGAAGGAATAAATTGATAATGTTTTTATATTATGAATTTCCCAACTTTTTTTTTTAGATTTATTTATTTGAGAGAGCAG